GAGATTCTAGTTTAATCAAGCCAAAATTTTTTCATAAAATGAGAGAAATGCTAAATTTACAAGTTACTTTTCTGGACTCCTTCCCATGATGAGTATTGCACAGACTACCTACATACAATCAGGATTAGAAGAGAATGTTTTGAGGTGGAGAACAAGCTCAGTGTTGTGCCCTTCATTAATACAGTCTGCAGAATCATTAAGATGCTGTTTTCTTGCAGTCACAGAAAAATATTTAGTCAAGAATTCATAACGTAAAGACACGCACACAAAAAATGGTTTGTATACTTTTTTAGAAATATGGGAGAAGTAATAAGTCTCTACCTGAACTAGCATTAGTAGTTATTTTCTTTAAACTAATGAACACATATTACTACTCTGATGGAACTAGCTCTTCCTCCCACTGAGAATTGAATTTCTTTATCTTGACAATTACAGCAGTAATTTACAAGTCAAATTAATAGTGGAATATTTTTTATATTGTTTCTAACTTCTTTTAGTGTTACAAACAAACAGATGGATATAAGCATAAGATCCACTGAACAATAAATCCAGTATGAAAAGAGCTGGAATAGTAAGATCATAAGCATAATAATTTATGAGAAAATTTCTATTATAAAATTACAATTTTTCTATATTGCAGGTATGAAAAGAGAGGTCAGATTTGTCAGAATAATTGGAAATACATTAAAATTTATCTGCCTTGTTAGATCACACCTTGTAATTGCTTCCAGTTGGAAGAGATGGAATAAATTATTAGGTGTTTTTTATCGTCTTTCTTTAGCAGAAAGTGAAACATCTCTTCATTCACAGTATGGGGAACAAGTATTCATCTTCTCATTCAAGCAAAGTATTTCCAGATTAATATAATAAATTATGTCTGATAATAATGATGTGTAATAATAATCTGTGAATAAACATTATTTATCCACCTGTCAAAATGCTAAAAGGAAGGGAATTTACAAAGTTCAGTTTATTAAATAGGGTTGCACTTCAGACAGCCATCTATCCTCAGAGGTTTTAGTGCAATCTGCCATTTTAACTTAATTTTACACAGGAATTCAAACATCTGTTTTAACCACTTAGCTATTCAATGTATTTTTTGGTGGCATTCTGGTTATAATGGCATTTCAGACATCTCTATCCTAGATGATTCCAGTACTTCCAGTGTTTGGCTATGTACATGTACATGATATAGAGGAAAAATACATTCACAGAATGTTTTCTCACAGAATTTCTCTCCTTTGCCTCTAAAGCACCTTACTGACATGAATGTAAGTGTTAGAAAATTTTTGGTTTATGTCTTAGGAGCCATTTGTCATTCAGTTTAATGACACACTGGAAAAATTAAATTTTTTGTGGAAGGTTCCTTTCATGAAGAAGGAGCTATCAAAACAGTCATGAACATGAATGGACAAAACCATGAACTAGACAAAATAAAAATCACACAGAATCTAAAGTCAATGTTCATATTTTCTCTGCAAGATATCTGTAAGAATCACAACCTCAAAATAGCATGCTTAGTACCATAGCACATTTACATTCTGTTGCTTGAAAATAAGGAGAAATTTGTAAACGGAGATCAATACAAGCCACCAAGCTTGAATTAGGCCAGGTTATTTTGTATTGGTATTTTGAATTTTTTTCATTATCTCTGTATATATATATTTAATTTCTTCAATAATATACAGTAGTTTTCTCAATTTTATATTAGTTTCAAACTTACATGTAAATTGAGATAATGCAAGTTTAAAAAAACAGCACTTGTTTTAAAGGATGGTTAAAAATATTACAAATGTCAAGACTAGAAATCAACATATTCCCATGGCATCTTGACAAGTTACTTTAACTTTTACTAGGTATTTTCTTACAGATATGTCACTGCATGCAAATTCAGGTATTTAACTCAGCTGCATTCACCAGGAAAATTCTTCATGAGAAGAGAGCAGTTTCCCATTCTGTGCTTCACAGCAAGAACATATCATCAAGATTCTTAGTCTGTCTGCAGATAAGTACTTATGCTTATTTAAATTACCTTCATCATGCATATTTGAAGTTTGATTTATGCCAACACTCAATTTATGGACTTGTGCTGACTCTACATGTTTGTACTCCTCTAGACTATTTAAATAATCTCTTAGGAAACCTATACTTTTGAACTGATCCCCAAGGCCACTAAATGTAAGGGTAAGTTTTATAGGGTGAAATTTGAGTTTTGGATCTAGACATCTATTTTCAGCATTGATGGTACTTGCTTTTGTTTATCAGTGGTATTGACAATGAAATAAAAGCTTATCAGTAGGTTTGTTATTTAATTAGTGCTAATTGAATACTTAAGTATGTACAACCTCTTTTTCAAAAAATGCTTAGTAACTTCTGCTATTATTGCAAGCACTGCTAATGCCTAGGAAACCTGAAATTCCTCAAAACATTTTGGAAAGGTTTTAAGTACTCATTATTCAAACAGAACTGTATCTAAAGTTAGTAACTGGAAGTACCCCTGGCAAGTAGTAAATGTCATGATAAATTTATTACTGTCAACATTTCATAAAGGAAACATTGCTTTAAAATAGCACCTTTAAATCTCCATTGCTATGTTCTCTGTCAGTAAACTCAAGCCATAAAAAAAGTAATAATTTCACTATTCTAAAATAATAGCAATGTGAGCAAGCACCAAAAAAAAAAAAAATTCTGTAAGTTTTTCATTTGCTTCATCCTCCTAAAAGATTATAATATCAAATTTCATATAAAATATTCTAGAATACACTAGCCTCTTTTTAAAATGGTTCTTATGGTGTTATGCATCAGCTGAGAAACCATGTTTGTTCAAACCATGCATATGCGTGCAGTTAGATTTACACATTTTTATCTCATTCAGAGAAGTGTTTTAATTGTATGGAATATGTAAACTGTTACAAAATGTCTTAAGATTCTATGTGGAAGCATGTTTTTATGTTCAGCAAAAAGAAGAAGCACTTTGAAAATAATAATTTGAATTACAGAGCTCCTGTATTAGCACTTTTTCCTTCCATAAAGAAGAAGATAGAAAAACAAATAATTTAGAAAGAAAAAATGGCAATTAACAAGTGAAATTTAGTGTTAGAAGCTGTGTGATTTAGCGTCATTTGTGTGTTCAGTCTTGGGTTTCAAAAAAGAAATGAAAAAGAGATGTTCATTAATCTCATCTTTAAAGGCTGAAATCAAATCATCCTTTACTACAAGCCAGAGTGAACTGATGGTGTAAATCAAAGTCACTGCATGATTGCCAGCAGAGAAATATTTCCTATTTCAAGACTCAATTCTTTTGGTTCAAGTACTTGCCATAAACCTGATCAGACCAAGCTGTTAAAAGTACCACACATTTATAAAACAAAGCATTTTTGTGACTTAAGCCTATAAATACAAAAAACAATTTGCCTAAACATGTTTTCCTATGTCAAATGGGATTTTTTAACTTACTCTATCTGTCATAAATCATTGCCTTGGATATACCTTGGGCAGCACAAGAGCCCAGCCAGGGTTTATCACCCAAGATGAACCCAAAATAGTCATAAAATGGACCACTGGTCACAAGGTCTCTTCTTTTATAAGTTCTAGTCCATTAGTATATTGGAGTTAATTGTCCAATTGTAGCTTTAGGTTATGAAGTCCCGTCCTTGTTTTTCTCTCTTCATTCCACCGTTGTTTATGATCTCTGGCCTGAGATTTGGATCAGTTGTCCTTCATCCCCAGCTAGAAAAGGGATTGTTCAGTCTAGCTACTCTGTGAAGAGATTTTACCATCCCTTAAATCACAGAACTACACACTAAAGCAGTACAGAATCTGAAAAATATAAAAGCTAAAGCCTAAGGCATCAGCTTCTTCAACTTAATCCAAAAAAAGCCATGAAAATAAGCCTGATCAAATTCAGTAAGCCTGCTTCAAGTTTTAGGGAGGAAAATATTTTTTTCTGCCACATTCTCTGCCCCATAAAATTATTCTGCTTGAATTAGAAAATGTTTCACCAAGGTATACAGAACTGTTCTTTAATTTCACAGACAAGGGTGTCCTCTAAACTAGAGACATGTCAAACCTTTCCACAATTATAAGTGAACACACCCTTACTTTTCCAATTACATTAAAATTAATATTTGAAAACATTATACAAAACCAGCTATAAGGAAAGACAAGAATTTATCTGAAAGATTATTAACTTTAATTTCTTATTTTTAAGAATTTCCATATATCAAATATTTGCAGTTTTGAAGATTGATGCTAGTATTATGACTTTTCCCTGCCTAACTTGTCATTTTCACCACTGTCATCTCAATAAATATTCACAGTTGACATTTACCTCTGCCTTCCCATTAAAACAGGAGAGTCGCATGTCAGATATGGTTTGCATCTAAGTATCAATTATTTCATTGCTTATTCAATTATCAGGAAAGTGTTTTCTTTTTGCATTGATATAATAATTAGTGAATTATGCCTTATATGAATTTACACACACTTCATTCACCACTCATTTCCTCCTGTTCTATTTTTGGTTCTTTTACATTTTTAAAGTTGTGTGTCAGCCAGAGACAAAAGTAATCCCTTTCATTCTGCCCCAGCATTTTTCTTCATTATTTTTGACAAATGCAAGTTGATCTTAGACTTGTGGAATGCAACCAGTTTTATCAGATCTGTAGATGATAACAAAGATTGATAGTGCTTCAGGTAACAGACCACAGCATCACGGAAGGGCAATAACAAATGTTAGGAGAAACAGTCATTAAAGGTTATATTGAGAAATTGTCAACATTTTTATGCCAGTCACACAACAATCACAATCAGTTTCTTGTTTTAATATATAGGAAATCTACCTTTTGAAACATATACTTTACTGTCTGTGAATTCTGATGGTTTATTTGCCATTCAGAATTACTCATTTGTAAGAGCGAAAATGTTTTAGCGCTGTAATTATTGAGACATGAAAATAGAAAAAGAGTAGTGTTTTGACAGGTAAATACATCATCACTTACCTTCTCTGCTGATTGGGCTGTACCAAAAAAGATTGGAATAAAAGCTAACCAAATTATGCAGGTTGTGTACATAGTAAATCCAATGGGTTTTGCTTCATTGAAGGTCTCTGGAACCCCTCTTGTTTTAATAGCGTAAACAGTGCATGTGACCATCAAGAGAATACTATATCCAAGGGAACAAATGAGAGAAAGATCTGAAATGTCACATTTGAGAACTCCTCTGGCATTTTCTGGTTCAAGTGTCCTCTGCTCTCCGTAGTCTACAATGGTGTGTGGTGGATCAATAGCAAACCAGATGAAGACTCCAATAAGCTGCAAGGATATGAGGCTGAAAGTGATCACCAGCTGAGAAGCTGGACTAATAAATTTGGGAGCTGTGACGGATTTTTTACCTTGTTCAAATATTCTGTGAATCCTGTTTGTTTTGGTAAGCAACGCAGCATAGCTGAAACACATACCAAGTCCTAAAAAGATCCTTCGAAATGAGCAGACCACTGTATCAGGAGCTGCAATCATTAAAAAAGTAATGGAGTAACAGAGAAAAATCCCAGTCAGGAGCACATAACTGAGCTCCCGCCCAGAGGCCCTGACGATCGGCGTGTCATTGTACCGGACAAATGTCACAATCACAAAGGTGGTGGCAATTATCCCGAGAATAGCTATGAAGACAGGCACGATAGCCCAAGGAGAATGCCACTCCAGTTTGATTATAGGGATAAGCTGGCAATCCGTACGGTTGGCATTTGGTCTCTTATTAATGGGACAGAGTTCACAGTTGAATTCATCCACCTGGTAATGGTAGCCCTCACAGCGCTCACAGTGCCAGCAGCAGGGCACTCCCTTCACGGTTTTCTTTCTTTCCCCAGCTTTACAGGGCAGGCTGCAGACAGATGCTGGATGAGTGTGTTCTCTGTTAGCCCACTGCATGTCTTCTACCTGTGGGTATAAAAAATTAATGAGACTTCTATTTTCCTTCATTTATAATATCCTAATCCTGGCCACAGGTTTGTCGTAAATCATTACTTGCTGACAGCACAAATACTGTTTACCATAATAAGAAACCTGTTTCTTTCCCTTGCACTGACTTTAAAAAAGTGTTAAATGATTGTGTCCAATAAATCATTCATGCCACAGGCTTGATGAGTGTCATTAGTTTCTATTTACCTCTTTGCTGCTGACCAAATTGACATCTGTAAAGATATTTATTAACTCCAGGCTAGTTCAAAAGCAAAAAGTCCCATACATAGTGCTGTAAAAAGTTAATCACATGCAAATATAAATATCAGTAGTTCTCAGATATTTAACTACAAAATAAGTCTATTTTCAGAGTGAGCTTCAGAGCAATTTCTGGTACAGAAGAAATTGATTAAAATCTCCATGCATCAGCTCTGGCAAAAGAAAGAGTTCCAGAAAAAAAAAGGTCTGTGATGCCATCCCTTCCACAAATGTGTATATTTTATACTTTTCTCTCGGGGGGTCAGGTGGTTGAGGTGACCCCAAGATTGTAAAAAGTCTTTTTTCTCCCAGCCCGCACGGCCAAAGAAGAAGTCTGAATGCGTAGGGTCGGCTTCTTGAGGTTGTTTATTTTCTCGTATATATAACATGCTTTCTCAAGGAGCTGCGCTCTGTCTAGCAGGTTAGTCTGTGACAGACCCCACCCCCTTGGGATGGTGTTACCATTTTATACTGAAAACTACATGTACTATGTTTACAATAACGTGCCAATATCTATCATTTATGTTGGACACTGCGTCTTTACCTTAAATCAATAGAAAAGTATCACCATCACAGCAAGACAGGGAGGGCAAGAAGAAGGAGAAGAAGGCCAGGGCACGCTCAAATCCCTCCACCTTGTTCCCTTGAACCCCTTATTTTAAAACCCTAAAATTCTACTTTTTCACCCTATGTTAATTCAACTACCATACTACTCAAACCCTTGTGGCTTGTAACTTTTCACACAAAGTTGGCAGTTTTTCCCACAGGCTAAAATCTAAGCCACAGGTGTTTTTGACTTTGTGCCTAGGTCTCCAAGCCCCCTGCCAGGGTATTGAGACAGCCAGGGCAGCCAGAGATGTCCTGGGCTCCCACACTTTTCCACCTTTGATGTCTTGAAATGCTCAAAACTATTTTGTTTGCATTTCTAGAAGACTAAAATAAGTATATACTGCTTTCTGAATAACAATGGAAGAAGATGTTATGACTCCTGCCCTAGTTCCCCGATATAATAAGTCTAGGGATCCTTTTGTAGCACAGAACAATGCAATCTTGTTTTAGAAATCCCAGCTTTCTCCACAGCAGCACATTAGCAAAATACACTTTTTTTCATTCATCTATGTATTCTTCCTGCATGCCCTGCAAATGAAATCTGAATGGGGAATTCTTGGATTTAAATAATTTCCTACTTAAAATTATCACTCATTTTGGGTGCCACCTGTCCTTAGCCCACCCTGATTAAAGCCCGGTCGTGCAGAGGTCACTGAGAGTGAAGCAGAGCTGTGCTAGAGCAGAGCCCCTGGTGGGCACCAGAACCACTCCCTATTGCTCCAGGCCCCACCTTTCATTCCTTTGTGAGCTGGTGAGCACTCCAAGACAAAGCATTTTCCTTGTTCTTGCCTATTAAGTACTGAGCACTTTTGTTTCATTTGGAGGCTTTATTCATAAGCGAAACAGGAGTAACAAAACTTCAGGCGTCAGGAATGTTTTCAGTTCCTTCTGGAGGAGGACAGAATGAGGACAGCGTATAAAAAGGGGTAATTTTGGTCTTTAAAGTTTATTTTTTCAGCAATTTTCAACAGACTTGAGAGGAAATCACAGTGCAGCATTGCTGTCTTTATTTGCCTTCCCCAGAGAGCCAGAGCACCAGTTGCAGTGCTGTGCAAGGTGAATAAAGCAGCAACAAGCAGCCAGACTCCTGCTCTCCTCTGTGCCCCTTCGGTGCAGGACTTTGATGCTGTACTCCACTCCAAGGGAGCACAGAGTAACAAGGACATAAGAATCACTTATAAAACCTGATCAGTGAACCCTCAGAGTCACTCGAGGATTTCAGTGGGAGGGGATCTGAATCTCTAGAAGTCAGCCAGATTTTATATCAAGGATTGTGATGACTATGCAAAATACATCATCTACTGACTATGGAAAAGAAAATCATTTAAGCAATTAGCTTCCTAAAAAGACCAAGAATATCCCAGTTTTGTATGAAACAACTTTGATAGCACTCCAGCAGAGCACTTGATACACTAAGAAAAGATTCACCTCTATTACAATCTCCTGGTTTTAATCAATGAAATCCTAAAAGCCCACATAACCCCTTATTGTTTCATCTACTAGACACGAGAAAAAACATGCTATGATGAAATCAGCATGATAGCAAAGGCAATTTGCCTTCACATTGTTGCTAGGAGAATAAATACAAATCTTGTGATCTAGTCACATACTACAATAATGGGGGGCAAAAATAACCCATGGTCATACTAATCCAGATCTGTGGATAAGTTTGGAATGACTCAGAAAATGACAGTAGTACATATTGGCTAGATTATAGCACACAATACAGAATCACCAGGAGAGCAGACACCACCTTATCCAGCATAAATTTAGAATGGCATGGAAAGGCAATATCTCATTCAGCAGAAAGCCTTACAGGATAAAGCTTAGCTGTCCAATTTTTAAACATATTTGAATTAGCAAGGTGAGTTTATACCAGGTCAGTATTTAATACCATGAGGATGCAGTGGTTCTTTTCTGCCATTAAGCATCCTAAGGTCATATTTATTGAATTGTGAATACAGTAGTGGCTTAGATAAGTACAGAGAATTCAATTTGTCTTTTAAAGCTTCTACCTTACTAAAAAGAAAGTTTGAAAATTTAAAAAAAAAAAAATCCTTTAATTTTACAGCTATTTACAATTTCACGTATTTTTGTCCTGACAGTATTTTAATTGACTAAAAACATGCCTAAAATCTCTTCATGGTTTGCAAAACATTAAAGTGCCTCAGATTACACCTAACTTTGGCAACAACTGATAATAAATTCCTACTTCTGAAGCTAGCCATCAAAGATTCAGACATGTTTTTCACTCTGATACCTCTGATAGAAACTAAAAAAATATATAATTTCCAGCATATAGAGTCATATAAATTTATGAATGCTAAAAAACTCACTGGATAAATAATTGCTTTTCCTAACAAATTAATTATTAATATAAACCCTATTGACTGATTAGCCATAGGAAAAGTCAAACACAAATGAATCTTAAAGCATAAAGAGTTCTAAATCAATGTAGAAAGTAACCAGAATGAATGGCTGGGGCAGGTGGATTTTACAAGGTATAAATCCTATGTTTTAAAATTTTGATTGTCTGGATTAATTTTCTAGGCAAAAACCCCACATGTAGAGTGACCTAGATTTATCAAAAAGCTTTAAAAAAAATTATGAGTTTTATACTAGTAAAAATAGTAGTACTTTTGTATTAGTATTTAAGAAGAAAGAGGAGATATAGTCCCAAGGAACATTGGCCAGTGTTTGAAATTTAAAATTGTTTCAAAATGCTTGTATATCTGAGAAAATTCTGGCATTGTAAGATGATAACTCTAGAAATTTGTGGAAAGATGGGATTCTCCCATAAACACAACCATCTGACAACTCAGTTTATAGCTCTATTAACAAGCAATGTGCCACAGTAAGAACCAATCAGCAGAGCAAAGCTGTTAATTCTGAGGAAGTGATGATAACATTGCTCTGTATTTGAAATTAGAGTCTGCAGAAGAAGGTTGTATTGACCTAATTTTGACATAGTTCAGTGGGCTTCATTAATGAAGATTAACTGTCCTTCTAGAAAGCATATTCTGCTTTCATTTCAGCCAAAAGCAACCAGTTCACCTAGGCCAAGACCCACTCCACAATGAGTAATTGTGCTAAGTGGGAATAATTAGTAGATTCCTTTCACAAGCCAGCTCTTGGTTGAAACCAAGATGCTGATGTGTTTATATCCTCAGACTGCTACTTGGACAATACTGTAGTAGGAGCAGAAGATAGAGCAGGGGAAACTGTACCTCAGAGTGAGCACTGTGGTTTATTACACTTGAACAGGTCTGTTAAGGGTTTCTGTATATGTAGACTTTAATAACTGAAAAGCCATGCTAATTCATGTCCTCCGGTTCACTCCCAGCTATCCACAACCTGCAGCAGTCTTTGCCAGTAATGTATTTTTGAGCTATTACTTTGCATAATATAAAAGTAATAAGTAAATGCAGTACAAAACATAATTACAATAGTGTTAAATATCTATCAGTTTTTTTCACTGATTGTATGCATCAGATTCCAGTTTCTTGAACTTGTGCAGAAGATTCACCCATGTCATTACTTTTCTCTCTTTATGAGCTAGTATTGTTGATCCCACTTCTTCTCTGAGATTAACTTTATACAATAAATGACAGCAGGAAGTGTTAAAAAACTACAAAACAAGGGAGGATCATTTGGGAACACAGAACAAGGGACAATTATAATTTCCAGAACTACTTAAAACCTGTAATAGTCAAGCTTTAAAGGGAGTTACTGGATGCTCATCCTCTTCTGAAAACCATATTGTTTTATGTAGACATAAACACTTAGCAGTGGAACTTTCAAAAGTGCCAAGGGGAACTTGCTCAATATAACTAATTAATTTAAATGAGAGTTAAGTGCCTTGTCTGTTCAACTGCTTTTGAAAATCCCTCTATGCTTCCATCTGCAGTTTTCATGACATAAATACTTTGGAAAACTTGCCCTAAAATGATCCAGAAGTTCAAATGTTACAAAACTAACTTCAGGGGATCTTAACTTTAGGCACACATTTCTAAAGATTCTCTTGGGGGAAAGAAATTGTCAAAGACACCAAAGTCAGACAAAAGAAACACAGAAAAGAAAGTGCTTTTAACATTGAAAAAGGATTAAGTTCT